TCCTTATTTATATACAACGTGCTCTAGCTTAGGTTGTACACAACACTCATCACTCTATGATAAATTCTGTTATAATATCTTCAAGAAGTGTGTTGGCAAGTACCTGGCGAGAACACGTGTATGTAACCCAAATACACCGTCTGTTACAATACCTCTAATTTAGTGCTTATACGTATGCTTATATTTAAACATTTTTGACGCTTGTATAACGTCACATTGTACGTACAAAGCAGCTTTTTGGAACTTTGGGTTTCATCAGCAAATAGTCACACAACTGAATTCGAAATATCTTATTTAATGTATTTTATGTAATTAAAAAGACTTGCCACTATTGTGTGTTTTTAACCTGATTAACTAAATTAATGTAAATAGTGCCCTACATTCAATGCTCAACATATTTTTACTAAAAATAATTTTGTTTTAAGCTTTTATTATTTATTCATTACTAAATACAGAAAGCTGAAACCAACTTTACAGTTTAATGAAGAAGTGTATTTTCTAGGCGAGTATTATTGCAGACAAAAAGTAGAATAATACAGTATCTAACTAAACTGCAATTAAAGCTCATAAAAACAACATTTTACTTTGCTAACGATCATTTATCACCAATCACATCCTCCAGACTTAAATTGACATAAAGTACCTAAGATCTTTCATAACTGATTGTCATCAACATTTTATCACTGTCTCACACGACTAAGTAAGTTTACAAACCATCTTATGCAAGGCACAATGCTTCTGCTTTTTATGAAGATCAATAGGTTATGTCTGCCATTAGTTTTATTTTAGTTTCATATGAGTTGTATAGATCAGCCATTCTGATCTTTACATTGTAAAAGAGAAACAGTTTTTTGTATTTATTGTATTTGTATTTAGTGTCTTCACATTACTATGTAAAACATTTTATTTTATTTCCGCTAATTGTATTAGCTACAGAAGAAAATGTCGATGATCCACCAAGAGTTACAAAACCTAAAACATAAACTTGATGCTAAACGCAGTGACCACAGCGAGGAAGACCATAAACTGATGAAAAGATCGAGAATTTGAAAGAACAGTTCCGAGAGATGTTGGTGGAAATGAGAAAACGAAAGGCAGCAGAATCCGAATTAGCAATATCATTTAATGAAGATGACAGTACTGTAAGTTATTTTTCGTATGTATTTTGTCGCCTAAGGCCTTTTCAATGATTAACTCAATTCAGTTGTCTTGTTTAGATTTGGAACAGTCCATATTATTTCAATATCAAAATAAAAAAGTGTATAGTTTCTGGTCAAATTGCACATTTCAAAACCAGCAGAGTTATGGTTAAGAACATACTCGAAACATGTTCGGCAACGCAATAACAAATTTAAATTGTTTTGTTAAGTGAATTGATTCATAATGGAATGTCATGTCTGTAAAACCATATTTAATTATGTTGATAGTATTAAGTTATAAGTGTGAGATATATGATTCGATATAACATATCTTTATATTGCAGACATGTACACCATGAAAACGGCTGATTTATACAACTCATATAAAACTTAAATTGTTCTAGAATAAATTAAAATTTGTTCTAGAAAGAATGTTCATATCAAATCACCCTATAAACATTTTATTTTTATGAAATATTTTAACAGAATAGCCAAACGATACATTTCTCTTGTTTTTATCAATATCTGAAAAATTCATTGAATATGTGCCCATTGTAGACCAATCCACTTTAATGTGTTTGTAAAATATTCAAGTTGGAAATCTAGAATCAACCGAAGTAAGAAAAGTATTGACAATTCATAGAGGCAGGAATAAAACAGTTTTAAATATTTATCTGTGACTATTTTACTGAGATTACATGCGCGCAAAAAAGCTAAGTTGAAAAAAGTGATGCGTGGAAATTTATTTCTCAAAGCCAAAATCAATATTTTCTTAGCTATTTTCCTAACGTTAAGTTAAATTTTAAATGTTAACGATTTTTCGATTGTAAATCATAATTAGTGAAGACATTAAATGCATGTTTGTTGTCATAGTAATCTTTCACTTAAAAGATACTTTAAAAAAAATTTTATATGTCTGGCAAATGTATCTCTTTTCAATTTAACTTGAACTATCTGAAAAAATGCTTCTATTTAGGCGATAAGCTTTTATCGACTAATCCTGAAGTTTCCAATGAAAGGCATCATTTGGTACACTTAGTGAAGGGATATTTTATATTGTTGTCTCTGAGTAGAGGAAAATAATGTTATATTAGGTACATGTTTACAAAGTTTGACTGGCTGATTGTTGGTAAAACCTGAATGAAATAAGTAAATAAATGACCGTTGACTTACTAGATATGTTTTTGAAAACGATGAACCCAAATAATCTATTTAGGCTTTAAGTGGCAATATATCCTGAACAATTAAAATTATCTTTTATGCGTTTATTCGTTTAAACTCTCACTGACCGAATTAATTGTCAAGATAAAATGTCAGTTTTATGTTCACTCTAGGAGGATGATGATGAGTATGATTTGCCCCGACGGCCATTCCGTCGTCGAGCAATGTCCGTATCTTCTCGACTATCAACATCTTCAGTGTCCTCTACAGTTCGTCCTCTTCCAGCACCAACACCGATGATGACGCCAGACTACAGTCCTTATTCTCCGTTAATAACAGACAAGCAGGTATAAAATTACGGAAACTAAAAATGTTTGCATTTTATTTTTTTTGAATGATAGTCTTGATTGACGATTCACAATCCAGCTTAAAAATTGTATTGAATTAAAAAACTTTTGTGCCCAAGTATTGGCAAATCTCTTTTCCTTGGCGCTTAATAGTTTGTTGCACTTGAACAAAAACAATTGTTTGTAACCAATCTAATTACTTCTAGTTGATTGATAGTGTTATTAGTGTGGTACTGGAATGTGGCAAATGTTCTATACAATTCATAAAAATTTACAAATTAAAAAATTGTCTACATATACATTGATTATTACAGGTTCCCTACACGAGTTATAGTAGTGACAGAAAGTTTCATACAGTCCCTTATTCGAGCAGACGACCATCTGCAAACCGTCAGACGATTTAGATTCTAGAATATCAGTATTCACCTTCTATGGAGAGAAGGGTTTTGCCAACTAAAAAGATGATTTAATAGTTTAATTTTTGTGTTATTGTTATTGACATGAAGTGTTACAGATAATATAAATCTCAACGGGGATTAGATTAAACACTACACTATTAAAATAATGAAATAATTAAATTGTTATGATTTTAGAATCACTTTATTTAGAAAGTGAATGAAACGCAGTGTTTTGCCTTTTGATTCCATTTTTGAAAATTAATCATCAAAATAACCAGTGTAGTTTTACAAACCATTGACATGACATGATGTGCAATAATTTTGCAATATTACATGAGAAAAATTTAAGATTTCAATTTGAGAGTTGAATTTTTGATATATCTTTATTGCAATAACTGTGCAAAAGCAATGAATTTCACCAGTTAGTTCCTACACCGCAGTTTAAATTCATGATTAGGATACATTTTCATATATAACCAATACAAGGAGTAAAACTGGATTACATAAAGAACGCCAATGACGGGAAAAATGATTATTTGCAGGGTAGATTTGATTGAGCCCGCTCATTAACGATCTTAGAAATTGCCAGCTAACGTCCCCGCTCAATACACTACAATCATTGCAAAACAGTACTTGTGTAACATTCGGTATATACAAAAAGTATTTAACACAGATTTCACTGTTTTATAATTAAATTCCACAAATAAATGTTATTTGCCTCATTCTCTTTGTAACGCCTTATATTTTGGATCAAAATATATGAACATGCTTTGAGTTACATATTTATTTATGTTTGTTTACGTTTTCCACGTTTCAAATTTGTTATGATATATTTATGTTAACCTTATTGAAATGATCCAAAGAAATTGTGCCAATTAGAGAGCAAAATGTATGTGTGTATATTTGGAACGATTATTTATTCTCATGAATATGGTTAACCAATAAAAGATAGATAATTGCTTGGTGTTGTCGATTCTTAAATATTTGTATAACATTAAAAAAATCAGAGGACCAGTTTGAAAAAAGCCTTCATAAAAAGTTTCATTGTAGTTGTAACAGAGATAAAAAATATGTTGCAAATTTGAATTGAACATGGAAGTTTCTATTCTTTATTTAAAAATATATTCATATAGACCAGGAACAGACCAGCAATTGTGTCATATAAAGAAACATGGCCTTGACCCTAGTACGACTTGAACCCACGATCCCTGGAAAAGAAACGGACACCTCAACGTACAAAATGGTCATAACTTTGGACTACTAGATTGTTTATGTTTTATGTTATATTTAAGCATTATATCATTTTCAGTCCCGTACATTAACATAAAAACATGTTCGGTTTTTACTATTATACATGCAATGGTATCATTCACGGCTAAGACTTAAGTTTCAACATTAACCACAATGGTACCAGAATTTCTACGATATTTCTTTCAAAACCTCTCATCAACATTGAAGTTGACTTGCGGGTTCACTTTCATAAATATTGTAGAATGACAAGTGATTCTAACTACATATATATTAACAAATGTAAACAATCTGATTTGATTAGTCGTTCTTTGAAGAAAGGCCGCAGAGTAATTAACGTTTCAACTTCATCTACAATTATGGAGTGGGGAATGATATAAATTTAAATGTAATTGATCATGGTACATAAGTTTTTTTTATATAAATAGTGTTTGACGATCAGTGAAAGTTAGTAAAACAATCATTCCCTGCACCAGAAATATCGTGATTTGTATCAAATAAAATGTAATTATTTGTTCAGATAATGGTTAGTGTCAAACTATTAAAATTTATTCAATACCCATCGGTATGAACCTGGACTATCAATCATATTTCCATCAATTCAAGTAGAAACCTTTATCAATTAAAGCAGAAACATTTATAGATGAAGCTCTCTCTGATGCAAAGACAGGGAAGTAAATGTAAATTTACCATATTGGATTAAACATACTGGATAAACTTTTTGTAAGGGCGCTCTTGGTTTATTTATTATCAGAAGAGCCAAAGCATTTATTTCGTTGAAAAATAAGCGTTTTTTGTTTCGTTCTATTTACGTTCAAACGTTTACAACTATATATGATCTAAAGTTGTTTACAGGTAAGCCTTAACTTTTCTACACTTGGTTTCATAAAGTTTTATATGAAGTCATAAATTAGGTATTTTAGTATTTATAAACCTCTTGTTACTTGTCATTGCGAGCTTAATACTTCACGGTACATACATATTTGCTTGAGAAAGGAATCTATTTTGAAACAAAAATTGTTAAAGACAATCTGATAATAATTCGTGTTAATCAAAAAGCACATAACGATCAAGTGCTTACATATGGCAACAATAGATAAATAATCTTTGATGTAGGTTTACCTTTGAGATACATTGTTTTCATGTTTTTATGATGCTAGTAGCAAAATACCTGTTTGCATCTTGTTGTCGTAGTAACGGATTCTAATCTAGACATTCCTTTCATGATTGCTAAAAAACCAGTTTTTAGCAAATGCAAGGCAAGTATGACGTATGCACGACAATTTTCACATTTTCTGACAAAATAAATACGAACGTTACATACTCGTCAAAACTATATCGGTCATTAACAACGAACCAAAACAAAGACGGCTGCAAGTATTTACCTTTAAATTTTATCACATCGACTCCGAAATATTTCTATCTATAAGTGTAAAACATTCTTTATTGGTGTATGTAGATAATATCATATGATATGTAAATGTACACCGATGATTCATTAAGGTGGTTTGACATGACCGGACTGGAATTTTATTTTTCAATATTTTTATGTCATTTGATGTAGGTCTAAACCAATAACTTGCGCGCTAAATTTCAGACCTTTCTCTCATTTCTTTTTTTTTTAAATTGTGAAAAAAGATAACTAAATTGAAAAGTGTTTATACACTTTTTACTCAAATATTGATATGAATCACACTACAATATCGATGTTCAAATTAAGTTTGAGTATATTTCTTCATTAAATTGTATAGTTTCAATATGCTTCTTTGTGCTTGTTTGTTTCCAATTATTCGAACCCATTCAGTCTACTCTTGCAATCACGCAGGAGTAAGCGGCGGCTGTAATATTGATGTCTCAGTCATAAAAGGCAACACCCCAGCACAGCAACAAGGGGCATAATTGTGTTGAACTTTTGAATTAAGTTAATTTGTTATCGCCACCAAGAGGTAATAAATCGGATTTAGATATACAATATCATAATATAACATGAATGAAAAGACATACCACACAGTTAATTAGCCAGTATACTTGAAACTTGAAACTTTTTATTTAATTAAACGCCTGTTTCTATTTAACAATATTCAACGGCGTTGTACAGTACATATAAATAATAAGAATAAAATTGTGAATGCATAAGAATATGTGGATCAACATCAAATGAAATAAAAGCTTTTACATACAATTCCAATTAACATATTTTTAAAAAAAATTAGAGACCATAAAATGATAAAACTGATTGATATACATGTAGCATGAGATAAGATTATTTACATACATGTAACTTGATTACAAATGGATTAAAAAGAATAAAACATTCATTTACATTGCACATTCATCACACTGTCAGTCATCAGTTATACGTTACTCATGTTTATCTCATTTCAGATTTTAAAATAGTGATTCAAACTTTCTGAAAAAATGTGTTTTAAGATTTCTCTTAAATACATCAATATTTTTCGATTGTTCCAACTCTAATGGCAGCGGATTCCACAATTTTGGACCAATAGTTCCGAAACTTCTGCCACTAAAGTTTTTCTTTTATTGAATGGAATAACGTAGCAGTTCTCAGAGGTTTTAGCTGAACGTAATCGGGTATTTGGTACTTGTTTGGTTAGGAGTTCAGAAAGGTATTTTGGAGCATGACCGATTGAACAATTGTATACAAAAGTCAAAATTTTATATTCGATTCTAGATTTGATGGGCAGCCAGTGAAGGCCGAACAATGCTTGCCTTGAACTGTCAAATTTCTTTCGTTGCAGAACTAACTTAGCGCACATGTTTTGAATACGTTGCATTTTTTCAATTCAAAATCGGATACACCATAAAGAATGACATTGCAATAATGACAATGCAAGTGTGACATTACGAGTGCTATTACTAGTATTTCAGCTGCTTCTTTGGTGAGGTATTTTCGGATACGTTTTATTCTAAGATAGTTTAACATTGCAGTACGGCACTTTCGCTTGACATGTTCCTTGAAATTTAGTTTTTGGTCTAGAAATGCGCCTAAATATCTAATGGACTCCTCGGAGTTGATCTTATCTCCGTTAATACAAATGGATTTTAGGTGACACTTTTCGAGTTGTTGAGAACTTCCAAATGTTATGAATTCTGTTTTCGATGAGTTCATCTTGAGTTTATTAGCGTTCATCCAGTTGTTGATATCAATCGCAGCATTTTCTAATTCAGCGATTGCAGAAATTTCACTATTTTCTTCAGTCGGTTTAAAACGTTTGGTTGCAGTATGGTCATCAGCGAATCCATACACCGATAATCCAGATGGAATCACGTCAAACAAGGTTCCCGCATACGTTAGGTAGAGCCAAGGCCCTAAAAACTACCCTGGGAGACACTGCACTCTAGTTGCCGTGGAGCTGAGACCGCCGAGTTGACACACACGCGACAGCCCCTCGGACAAAGGTATGAATCAAGCCAGCTGAGCACTGAACCGCTCACGCCGTACTGCTTCTGTAGCACGTCGACGAGTATATCATGATCCACAGTGTCGAACGCGGCACTGAGATCAATCGCGATTAGCGCTGTAAGTTCTTGTTTTTCCATGGCTGCCAACAGGTCATTAACTAATCGCAGTAGAGCAGATTCACAGGAGTGGTATTTTCTGTAGGCGGATTGGTTTGTAGGTAGTAAGTCATACTGATCAGCATGTTTATTTAGTATTTTCAGAGCTGCTTTTTCAATCAGTTTTGATAAAAACGATAGATTACTCACAGGTCTATAATTTGAGAATACAAGTTCAAGTCCAATTTTCTTCAAAAGTGGTCTCACGATAGCCTCTTTCCATTTATTTGGAAATATTCCTTGCTGTAGTAATAAGTTTACCAGTTTTGTTATAATTGGGAGTAGTTCTCCAAGGAATAGTTTTAATATTGCTGTCGGTAATATGTCCAAGTATACTTGTTTACACTTACAAAGCACAAAACAGACAGATATGATTGTTTATCATTGATACAGAAAAGGTCCAGTCAAAACCTAACTACTGACAAATATAAGCCGTTCAATAATTGTAGGGTTTTCCTTCTTTATTAGAAAAGTGTACATCATTTATGATTAGTAGGCTTATATTTATATAGTGTAGATATTTTAAGAACAACAATTACAATGTTTGATTAAAATATCAATTGTCATTGTGGAAAGTAACAGTGCATAAAATCTAAACCTATCTTTGCAATTACATTTGTTAATTACCGTAAACTTCTCTACTTATGTTGTGCATATACAGAATTTAACTTCTAATTCCTTTAATATGTTTGCCAACTCAAATCATACATTATTGGCAGGAGCTTGAAAATATTCTGACGATTATTTCAATATCATAATCATTCTTATGCAGATAACTCATTAAAAAGTTATTAAATTTAATTATGCATTTAAAGAAGAGGGTAAATGATTTAAAACGTTTTAAAACTATACTTCTGGCTTCAAAATCTTTCGTAAAATTTAAAGTATTTGGAAATTTTATCTATCACTGCCGAGATCCATTATTGCTCCTGGCATGTTTTGCTTATTACATTTTAGTACTTTATTTCGCTTGAACGACTTAAATGACAATATCAATAATTTAAGTTGGTTCTAACAAATCAAATTATCAATATTATTAATTTCAAAAGTTAAATGTATATACATACTAGATCTTGCTATTAGGCGAATCAGGTAAATAATGTATTTAAAACCAAACAAATTAAGATTATGTAAATTAAAATTATTACTTGATGTAAACAACACCACTGGTTCATTGTTCCATTATCTTCGAAAGGAACAACGTAGTTATATTTGGCTGTCTTTACGTAGAATAACAAGTAACTCATTTTACAATTTTGGGTTAGGCGATTTCGAATACATTGGACGTTTTTAAAATCAATATTAGCGTACGGTGTTGGTCACACAGTTCTTTAGTTTATAGACTAGGATAACTACATTAACATGGTGTTATAAAATGTGACAAAATGAAACCGAACCAAATAAAACTAAATATATATACAAGATAGAGTAACGTTTATAGGATTAAGTTACAGCATTTGCACGGTTTTACGCCGTTCACAACCCCAAATTGTGCAAAACATCCAGTTTGGCACCGCTTACACCATACAATTGAAAAGAGAGAAACTTAAAAAGTTTAAAGAGGTACAAAAGATAACAACAAGACGCCAAACAAACTACAACATAAACAAACACGTTCTAATAAGAATAGCTCATGATTATATAGATCGCTGACATACCGAATTCTCAATCATCCCTCTGTGATATTTATTTCACTCCTGTAACATGATTTGTTTGTGCCACTTCTTCTGATGGGGATGTGGTAACAAACGTTGGGTGATCAATATACTTAACATTTAACGAATGACGGATGCTCTGAAACAAGCAATCAGTGACTGGTCTCTTAGACGTATATGATGTCTATTGTTCAATATTTAAGATGTTTTTCAGACAATTTAGATGCTCTTTGTCAACGTTCTTGGTAATAAAGACACAATAATAGAAGCTGAATTAAGTCTCCACTTCATTGTTGTTATGAGAACAACTCAACTTGAATACACCATTGCCACCTCACAGATCACTAATGGTTTCTTTTATCTCAACGTTTAAAACTTCAGAGAGAAAGCAATTGATGATTTTTTCCTTATTTAAAGCCATAGAAGCTGACATTATCTTGTTTTGTAGAATTGTATGTACATAATGCACTATCATTCTTAAAGGCCCGGTCATACAGCCTTTCGCGTCTGTATCGCGGGTAAAATTTCGCGATTATTTTTTGCCCGCGGTTGCCCGTGGTGGAAAATGTGCAAAATTGGCTTACCCGCGGTTTACCCGTGGTATGCCCGCGGAACAGACGCCGGCGACTGTTCCGCGTCCTTATCGCGGGTGAAGCGCGGCGGTACCGCGGCCTACCACGGGTATAATAAAGCAGCCGAACCTGGCTGTAGAAATCATAACCGCTCAAGACACAGTCCCGTGAAGATCAAGCTATGGCACCGAAGAAGAAGCCCACGTCGAGTTCCCCGGCCAAGAAGAAGAAGCAGCGTGCGAGCAAGAAGCCGAGGGCGAAGGCAGCAGATGAAGGTAGCCCAGTGCCAGTGGAGGCCGCAACTGACAACTGACGAATGCTCGGCAAATCGCGCTTTTTATATACCTAAAATCAGACGTTGTACGGACGCGATTAGGCCGTGGACAATCGTATTTGGGACATGTACAAGACGCAATTGAACGTTATTAGGCCGGTATTGGGGCGCGCTGTTTACGCGGAGTAAGGCGTTTGTCCGTGCTTACACGCGGTACACACGCTAATGCACGTGATAACAACGCGGTACAGACGCGGAACAAACGTGCCATGACCGCGCTCCACCCGCGATTACCCGCTAAAATTTCGCGTCCTACCGCGTGTAACCACGTCTTAACCGCGGTCGTAGCACATCCTAGCACGTTCGTTCTGCGTCTGTACCGCGTCTTTATCGCGTGTGTACCACGTGTACCTCCCGCGATTACCTGCGGTCTTAATTTTTGGGCAGCCCAAAACTTTTTCGCGCGACCTACCGTGTGTGAATTTCTTACCGCGTGTACGGCTGTATCGCGTCTTTATCGCGACCTCAAAGCGTCCAACAGTGTCTGCTTCACGGGCAGAAATTTTTGGCCGTTATTCGGCCGCGATACACCCGTGGAGGGCTATGTGACCGGGCCTTATATGTTTAATTTTGTAAGACTAATAAGAAGCAATGTGCTATATTCAAAAAATGATTTTTACGAATTACAATTATTTCTGAAAATGCTTACTGTATTCAAATTTGACAGTTTCACTTTCACATGCCGTCGAAAGTCTTATAAACGAACTTCGCATAATTATCAGGCGATGAAAAGTTTGATACAAAGACATTGCAATACCAAGGGAATTAATAAAGACTTTTTAATGAGCAAGTCTGCTTAGCGAAATTCAAGCGAAAGGGTCTTTTCCGTACTTCATTTCAGTGTTGTAGTATTATTCTGGTCCTTCGAGATGATGATTTCAGCACTTTTGAGTGTTGAAAATTGAGTACCGCTCAAGCCGGTGTTAGGGGACGTGGGTATGAAGCACTTTTTCATTATCCCTCGTGTACAAAATCAATCGAACCGAGCCTGCAATTTTCATGTTATTCTACTGATTTTAATGCTTCCGAACGATAATTTTTTTCAAATATTATATTGTTTCAACCTTTAAACTGCTGTAGGCAACATATTATACCAATGTGACTAGTGCACTGCACGGTTCGCTATTCAGTCTGCATTTTTTTTTAAATTGTCTACAACATTGATGTTAGCATTTTGTTGTCGTAGTAACGGATTTTTTCTTAACATTCTTTTTGTTAATTAGCTAATTGTATGAACATTAGTAATCTAGAAAAAAATAGTTAAAGTCTCTCATTTGTAGATTGTGCTGGTCATTATATAAAATAAATAAACAGTTGTTATTTGACAAATTGCTGGTCAAGTATTGCAAAAATGAATTGTAAGTTAAAATATTTCATTCTAAACATAAAGTTCTGAGGATAATTCCTACACAGTGCTTCGACCTGTTCAACACTGCGATATCTTTTTCTACATAATAAACATAATCTGACTTATTCAACATTCAACGTTCAAAACAAATCATCAGTTACATTATATTCATTCTGGAAGTATATAGATAATTAAAGCAACATGAATGGGGTTTAAAGTTGTAATTGATTAAGTTTAATAATATTAATATCATTAGGTGACCTATAAAGGAAATAAGGAAACTAGGATAATTTTCATATTTATATTTCAAGACTGAAAATAGTACGCTTTTGAATGAACGAAACTCCTATTGTTAAGTATACCACTTACTTTTTTATACATACGTGATTATAAGATACTTAAAAGCATTAGGCAAAAGTCACAGACGATAACAGTAATTCTTTATTTGTGTTTAATTTTGATCACGATATAGTGAATTATACCGGTCGCTAATGATTTACCTAAACATTAACTTTTCATGTATTCATTCGCACAGTTCTTAACGCAATCATACAGAAGATGTATAATGCTTCACCAAAACTGTCTATAGAGTCATTTCTATTTATTGACTTAAGTTATATTGCAAAAACATCTATCATTTTTATAGATGGAAACTCTGTATGAACAACTGGGTCACAGGCGTATTCCAGGAGATCAACAGTCAAACAAAAAGTTTTATCTTACTCTACTCAGCACAGAAATCAGACCAGAGGAGACAGTCGCACAAGTAAATTTTGACTTTTTGAGAGGATCTTCAGGGGTAACTTATTAAACAGGTTAACTGTCAATTACTTGCTTAAAAGGACATATTAAGGTCGCAACAAATGTGTTTAAACATAGACATGTACCCGAAACGTTGCTGTTAAATGCTATTGGTGCACAAAGTCATACACATGCGTTAAACCCTGGTAAGGCACATATTAAATAAACTATGGATCGAAATATCATTATGTAATAAATGACATGTAGTTTTAATTGCAAATGATTTCCATTAAATCTTCACAAAACAATAACTTTCCTTACTTTTTTATTCTCTTGGCTTTGGTGTAACCACACAATGCATTCATGAAGTGTTTTATTTGATGCAAACATATTTTTATATTGTAAGAAACAGTTGCGTGTTTCATCAGGTATCATTCTATATTTATATACAAAGTGCTCTAGCTTAGGTTGTACAACACAACACTCATCACTCTATGATACATTCTGTTATAATCTCTTCAAGAAGTGTGTTGGCAAGTACCTGGCGAGAACACGTGTATGTAACCCAAATACACCGTCTGTTACAATACCTCTAATTTAGTGTTTATACGTATAATTATAATAAAACATTTTTGACGCTTGTATAACGTCAACTTGTTCCATATAACATTGTACAAAGCAGCTTTTTGGAACTTTGGGTTTCATCAGCAAATATTCACACAACTGAATTCGAAATATCTTATTTAATGTATTTTATGTAATTAAAAAGACTTGCCACTATTGTGTGTTTTTAACCTGAATATACCCAATCCCAATTAATGTAAATAGTGTCCTACATTTAATGCTCAACATATTTTTACTAAAAATAATTTTGTTTTAAGTTTTTATTTATTTATTCATTACTTAATACAGAAAACTGAAACCAACTTTACAGTTTAATGAAGATGTGTATTTTCTAGGCGAGTATTATTGCAGACAAAAAATAGAATAATAAAGTATCTAACTAAACTGCAATAAAAGCTCACAAAAACCAACATTTTTCTTTGCTAATGATCATTTATCACCAATCACATCCTCCAGACTTAAATTGACATAAAGTACCTAAGATCTTTCGTAACTGATTGTCATCAACATTTTATCACTGTCTCCCACGACTAAGTAAGTTTACAAACCATCTTATGCAAGGCACAATGCTTCTGCTTTTTATGAAGATCAATAGGTTATGTCTGTCATTAGTTTTATTTTAGTTTTATATGAGTTGTATAGATCAGCCATTCTGTAAAAGAGAAACAGTTTTTTTTGTATTTATTGTATTTGTATTTAGTGTCTTCACATTACTATGTTAAACATTTTATTTTATTTCCGCGTATTGTATTAGCTACAGAAGAAAATGTCGATGATCCACCAAGAGTTACAAAACCTAAAACATAAACTTGATGCTAAACGAAGTGACCACAGCGAGGAAAACCATAAACTGATGAAAAAGATCGAGAATTTGAAAGAACAGTTCCGAGAGATGTTGGTGGAAATGAGAAAACGAAAGGCAGCAGATTCCGAATTAGCAATATCATTTAATGAAGATGACAGTACTGTAAGTTATTTTTCGTATGTATTTTGTCGCCTAAGGCCTTTTCAATGATTAACTCAATTCAGTTGTCTTGTTTAGATTTGGAACAGTCCATATTATTTCAATATCAAAATAAAAAAGTGTATAGTTCCTGGTCAAATTGCACATTTCAAAACCAGCAGAGTTATGGTTAAGAACATACTCGGAACATGTTCGGCAACGCAATAACAAATTTAAATTGTTTTTTTAAGTGAATTGGTTCATAATGGAATGTCTGTAATACTATATTTAAATATGTTGATAGTATTAAGTATCACAATGGACAACAAACCACTTTGAATGTTGTAAATAAGTGTGAGATTTCAGAATGGCTGATTTATACAACTCATATAAAACTAAAATTGTTCTAGAATATATTAAAATTTGTTCTAGAAAGAATGTTCATATTAAATCACTAAGAACTCTATAAACTTTTTATTTTTATGAAATATTTTAAAAGAATAGCCAAACGATACATTTCTCTTGTTTTCATCAATATCTGAAAAAATTATTGAATATGTGCCCATTGTAAACCAATCCACTTTAATGTGTTTGTAAAATATTCAAGTTGGAAATCTAGAATCAACCGAAGTAAGAAAAGTATTGACAATTCATAGAAGCAGGAATAAAGCAGTTTTAAATATTTATTTGTTACTATTTTACTGAGATTGTATGCGCGCAAAAAAGCTAAGTTGAAAAAAGCGATGTGTGGAAATTTATTTCTCAAAGCCTAAATCAATATTTTCTTAGCCATTTTCCTAACGTTAAGTTAAATTTTAAATGTTAAATGTTTTCCGATTGTAAATCATAATAAGTGAAGACATTAAATGCATGTTTGTTGTCATAGTAGTCTTTCACTTAAAACATACTTTAAAACAAAACTTATATGTCTGGCGAATGTATCTCGGCGCGATATTGATTTTCAATTTAACTTGAACTATCTGAAAAAATGCCTCTATTTAGGCGATAAGCTTTTATCGATTTATCCTGAAGTTTCCAATGAAAGGCATCATTTGGTACACTTAGTGAAGGCGATATTTTATATTGTTGTCTCTGAGGAGAGGAAAATAATGTTATATTAGGTACATATTTACAAAGTTTGACTGACTGATTGTTGGTAAAACCTGAATGAAATAAGAAAATAAATGACCTTTGACTTACTAGATATGTTTTTGAAAACGATGAACCCAAATAATCTATTGAGGCTTTAAGTGGCAATATATCCTGAACAATTAAAATTATCTTTTATGCGTTTATTCGTTTAAACTCTCTCTGACCGAATTAATTGTCAAGATAAAATGTCAGTTTTATGTTCACTCTAGGAGGATGATGATGAGTATGATTTGCCCCGACGGCCATTCCGTCGTCGAGCAATGTCCGTATCTTCTCGACTATCAACATCTTCAGTGTCCTCTACAGTTCGTCCTCTTCCAGCACCAACACCGATGATGACGCCGGACTACAGTCCTGATTCTCCGTTAATAACAGACAAGCAGGTATAAAATTACGAAAACTTAAAAATGTTTGCATTTCATTTGTTTTGAATGATAGTCTTAAATGACGATTCACAATCCAGCTTAAAAATTGTATTGAATTAAAAAAACTTTCGTGCCCAAGTATTGGCAATCTCTTTTTCTTGGCGCTTAATAGTTCGTTGCACTTGCTTGAACAAAAACAATTGTTTGTAACCAATCTAATTACTTCTAGTTAATTGATCGTATTATTAGTGTGATACTGGAATGTGACAAATGTTCTATACAATTCATAAAAAAATACAAATTTAAAAATTGTCTACATATACATTGATTATTACAGGTTCCCTACACGAGTTATAGTAGTGACAGAAAGTTTCATACAGTCCCTTATTCGGGCAGACGACCATCTGCAAACCGTCAGACGATGGAACAATTTGAAATTCTAGAATATCAGTATTCACCTTCTATGGAGAGAAGGGTTTTTCCAACTAAAAAGATGATTTAATAGTTTAGTTTCTGTGTTATTGTTATTGACATGAAGTGTTACAGATAATATAGTTCTCAACGGGGATTAGATTAAACACTACACTATTACAATAATGAAATAATTAAACTGTTATGATTTTGGAATCACTTTATTTAGAAATGAAACGCAGTGTTTTGCCTTTTGATTCCATTTTTGAAAGTTAATCATCAAAATAGCCAGTGCAGTTTTACAAACCATTGACATGACATGATGATGTGCAATAATTTTGCAATATTACATGAGAAATATTTAATATTTCAATTTGAGAGTTTTGATATATCTTTATTGCAATAACTTTATAAGTATGTTAAATACTGTGCAAAATACCAGTTAGTTTCTATTCTGTACAGTCCCCCAGTTTAAATTCATGAACAGGATGCATTTTCATATATAACCAATACAAGGTGTAAAACGTGATTACATAAAGAACGCCAATGACGGGGAAAATGATAATTTTGCAGGGTAGATTTTATTGAGCCCGCTCGTGAACGATGTTAGGCATTGTCAGCTAACGTCCCCGCTCAATACACTACAATCATTGCAAAACAGTACTTGTGTAACATTCGGTATATACAAAAAGTACTTAACACAGATTTCACTGTTTTATAATTAAATTCCAAAAATATGTGTTATTTGCGTCATTCTCTTTGTAACGCATAATGTTTTGGATCAAAATATATGAAGATGCTTTAAGTTACATATTTATTTATGTTTACATATTGATTTATGTTTGTTTACGTTTTCCACGTTTTAAATTTGTTATGATATATTTATGTTAACCTTATTGTAATGATCCAAACAAATTGTGCCAATTAGAGAGCAAAATGTATGTGTGTATATTTGGAACGATTATTTATTATCATGAATATGGTTAACCAATAAAAGATAGATGAATGCTTGGTGTTGTCGATTCTTAAATATTTCTATAACATTAAAAAAATCAGAGGACCAGTTTGAAAATAGCCTTCATAAAAAGTTCCATTTTAGTTGTAACAGAGATAAGAAAATATGTTGCAAATTTGAATAGAACATGGAAGTTTCTATTCTTTATTTAAAAACTTATTGCATAAGCAAAGACGATTTTGCGCCGGTTATCAATTACTGTAAAAGTGGCGAAGTATTATTTAAGATAAAAAAAAATATCAACAGACCTTATTAAAACAGCTAAATATTTTATTTCGCTCGGTTGTTATGGCAACTTGAGGCTTATTTGAACCGTCTTCTAGTCAGCATCATGAAACAGACCATCATTTGTGTCATATGAAGAAACATGGCCTTGACCCTAGTACGACTTGAACCCACGATCCCTGGAAAAAGAAACGGACACCTCACTATCGTGCAAAATTGTCATAACTTTGGACTACTAGATTGTTATGTCTTATGTTATATTTAAGCATAATTTCATTTTCAGTCCCGTACATTAACATAAAAACATGATGGTTTTTACTATAATACATGCAATGGTATCAATCACGGCTTAGAACAAAGGGATAGACTTAAGTTTCAACATTAACCACAATGGTACCAGAATTTCTATGATATTTCTTTCAAAACATCTTATCAACATTGAAGTTGACTTGCGAGTTCACTTTCATTAATATTGTAGAATGACAAGTGATTCTAATTATATTAACAAATGTCAACAAATCTGATTTAATTAGTCGTTCTTTGAAGAAATGCCGCAGAGTAATTAACGTTTCAACTTCATCTATAATTATAGAGTGGGGAATGATATAAATTTTAATGTAATTGATCATGGTACAAAAGTTTTTTTTTATATAAATAGTGTTTGACGATCAGTGAAAGTTAGTAGAACAATCATTCCCTGCACCAGAAATATCGTAATTCGTATCAAATAAAATGTGATTATTTGTTCAGATAATGGTTAGTGTAAAACTGTACGTTCAAATGAAACTATTAATAATTACAAGGCATTGTAAAATTTATTCAATACCAATCGGTATAAACCTGAACTATCAATCATATTTTCATCAATTCAAGTAGTTAAAGCAGAAACCTTTATAGATGAAGGTCTCTCTAGTGCAAAGACATGTTAGTAAATGTAAATTCACCATATTTGATTAAACATACTGGATGAACTTTTTGTAAGGGCGCTCTTGTCAACGACATGGTTTATTTATTATCAGAAGAGCCAAAGCATTTATTTAGTTGAAAAATAAGCGTTTTTTGTTTCGTTCTATTTACGTTCAAAAGTTAACAACTATGATCTTAAGTTGTTTACAGGTTAGCCTTAACTTTTCTACACTTGGTTTCATAAAGTTTTATATGAAGTCATAAATTAGGTATTTTAGTCTTTATAAACCTCTTGTTACTTGACATTGCGAGCTTAATACTTCACGGTACATACACATTTGCTTGAAAAAGGAATCTATTTTGAAACAAAAATTGTTGATCGTTATAGCAAAGACAATCTGATAATAATTCCTGTTTATCAAAAAGTACATAACTACTAAGTGCTTACATATGGCAACAATAGATAAATAATCATTGATGATGGTTTACCTTTGAGTTACATTGTTTTCATGTTTTCATTATGCTAGTAGCAAAATACCTGTTTGCATCTTGTTGTCGTAGTAACGGATTCTAATCTAGGCATTCCTTTCATGATTGCTAAAAACCAGTTTTTAGCAAATGCAAGGCAACTATGACGTATGCACGACCATTTTCACATTTTCAAACAAAATAAATACAAACGTTACATACTCGTCAAAAACTGTATCTGTCATTAACAACGAATCAAAACAAAGATGGCTCCAAGTATTTACCTTCGTATTGTTTATAAAATCAGTTATTTTCTCCATTCTGGATGTAGTGCAAATTTTATCACATCGACACCGAAATATTTCTATCTATAAGTGTAAAGCATTCTTTATTGGTGTATGTAGATTATATCATATGATGTGTTAATGTACACCGATACTTCATTAAGGTGGTTTGACATGACCGGACTGGAATTTATTTTTCAATATTTTAATGTTATTTGAAGTTAATCTAAACCAATAACTTGCGCGCTAAATTTCAGACCTTTCTCTCATTTCTTTTTTTTTATCCCCCGCCAAAAGGCGGCGGGGGATATAGAAATAGTCTCCGTCCGTCCGTCCGACCTTCCGTCCTTCCGTCTGTCCTTCCGTTCGACATTTTAGTCCGGGGCATATCTCAAAAATTATTTGAGGTATCAACTTGAAACTTCATAGGTGGATAGACCTCATTGAGGAGGAGTACAGTGCACAAGAGTGATAACTCTACCCTGCCTAATTTTTTAGTTATTGCCCTTTGTTATGTTTCAAAATTAATTTTTGTCCAGAGCATTTGAGCCTTTGAGATATCAACATGAAACTTCATAGGTGTATAGATCTCACTCAGGAGGTGTGCATTGCACAAGAATGATAACTCTACCTTTCATAATTTTTGAGTTATTACCCTTTGTTATTTTTCATACTTAATTTTTCACCTGAGTGGAGCATAACTCAAAAAGTGTTTGAGATTTCAACATGAAATGTCATAGGTGGATAGATCTTATTGAGCAGAAATGCTGTGCGCAAGAATGATAACTCTTCGCTACATAATTTTTGAGTTATTGCCCTTTGTTTTTTTTCATACTCATTTTGTCCGGAGATTATCTCAAAAAGTATTTGAGGTATCAACTTGAAACTTCATAGGTGGATGGATGTCATCGAGGAGGAGTGCAGTGAACAAGAATGATAACTCTACCCTGCATAATTTTTGAGTGATTGCCCTTTGTTTTCAAAATTAATTTTTGTCCAGAGCATAACTCAAAAACCTTTGAGATATCAACATGAAACTTCATAGGTGCATAGATCTCACTCAGTAGGTGTGAAGTGCACAAGAGTGATAACTCTTCCTCTTCTTTCCTTTATTTTTCAGTTATTGCCCTTTGTTATATTCATCCATCAGTATTCACAGGTTTCAAATCTGTAATCACTTCAGCCATCAGTTTTCATTACCAAAAGACCTCTTAAAATTGAATTATTCTGCTCTACTACATATACATTCTTCCAATGAGCAAACACATTCGGAGGGGGATGGCCATGTTGACATGGCTCTTAAATTGTGAAAAAGATAACTTAATTGAAAAGTGTTTATACACTTTTTACACAAATATTGATATGAATCATACTGACATATCTATGTTCAAATTAAAGTTGAGTATATTTCTTCATTATATTTTATAGTTTCAATATGCTTCTTTGTGCTTGTTTGTTTCCAATTATTCGAACCCATTTAGTCTACTACTTCTTGCAATCACGCAGGGGTAAGCGGCGGCTGTAATATTGATGTCTCAGTCATAAAAGGCAACACCCCAGCAACAAGGGGCACAATTTTATTGAACTTCTGAATTAAGTTAATTTGTTATCGTATCAAAGGGCAATGAATCGGATTTAGATATACAATATCATAATATAACATGAAAAGACATACCACACAGTTAATTAGCCAGTATACTTGTTTACACTTACTACGCACTAAACAGACAGATATGATTGTTTATCATTTATACAGAAAAGGTCCAGTCAAAAGCTAACTCCTGACAAATACAAGCCGTTCAATTATTGTAGGGTTTTCCTTCTTTATTAGAAAAGTGTACATCATTTATGATTAGTAGGCTTATATTTATATAGTGTAGATATTTTAAGAATATCAGAGAACAACAATTACAATGTTTGATTAAAATATCAATTGTCATTGTGGAAAGTAACAGTGCATAAAATCTAAACCTATCTTTGCAATTACATTTTGTTAATTACCATAAATTTCTCTACTTATGTTGTGCATATACAGAATCATTCACTTTTATTTCCTTTAATATGTTTGCCAACTCAAATCATACATTATTGGCAGGAGCTTGAAAATATTCTCACGATTATTTTAATATTATGATCATTCTTATGCAGATTACTCATAAAAAGTTATTAAATTTAATTATGCATTTAAAAAAGAGGGTAAATGTTTTAAAAGTATACTTCTGGCTTCAAAATCTTTCGTAAAATTTTAAGTATTTGGAAATTTTATCTATCACTGCTGAGATCGATCATTGCTCCTGGCATGTTTGGCTTACAACAATTTAGTACTTAATTTCGCTTGAACGACTTAAACGAAAATATCAATGAATTAAGTTAGTTATAAAATCAAATTACCAATATAATTAATTTTAAAAGTAAAATGTATACATACTATTTTGACTTCTAGACGAGCCAAGCAATTAATATATTTAAAACCAAACCAAATGAGATTATGTTAATACAAATTATTACTTGATGTAAACAGCACCACTGGTTTCTGGTTCCATTATCTTCGAAAGAAACATCGTAGTTATATTGGGCTTTCTTTACGTACAATAACAAGTAACTCATTTTGCAATATTGGGGCAGGCGATTTCAAGTCCATTGGACATAACGTTTTTGAAGTCAAGATTAACATACGGTGTTGGTCATACAATCCTTTATATAGACTAGGATATCTTCATTATAATATGGTGGTATAAAATTTGACAAAGTGAAAACTTACCAAATAAAACTAAACATATACAAGAAAGTGTACGTTTATAGGATTAAGTTATGGCGTATGCACGGTTTACGCCGTTCACAACACCAAACAACGGAAAACATGCAGTTGGGCACCGCTTACACCATACAATTGAAAAAGAGAGGAAACTTAAAAAGTTTGAAGAGGTACAAAAGATAACAACAAGACGCCAAACAAACTACAACATTAACAAACACGCTCTAAAAAGAATAGCCCATGATTATATAGATCGCTGTCATTTCGAATTCCCAATCACCCCTCTGTGATTTTTATTTCACTCCTGTAACAAGATTTGATTGTGTCACTTCTTCTGATAGGGATGTGGTAACAA